TAAACGCGTGGTGGGGCTGCGCGAAGGAAGGCGCGTCATGACCTCAGCGAAGAAAGTGCAGGCGCGTCAACGCCGTGCTCGACCCTTCCTTTCCCGCCAGCCCCCCGGTCGTCATCCCCCACCAATTCTCTACTGCTGCCTTTGCTGCATTCTTTCTTCAACCTCTACGCAACGGACAAGTCACTACCTCTGTGCTGTCGCTCGGAACGCTCCTCAATCCTACAACTGATCAAACAAATCTCCTCGTCATATTAATCAAAGTGCCCATTGGAAGTTCGGCGAAATGGGTATCAAGCATCTCTTCCAGATCATCAAGGAGGAGGCTCCCGATGCGATCAAGGAGGGAGAGATCAAGGCGCACTTTGGTCGCAAAGTTGCCATTGTAAGTCCAGCCCAATCACCAAATCATTTTAACGCCCACTGACTGAGAGCAGGATGCGTAGGCTCGCCGTCCAGACCCTATAGCTCACGCTTGCTAACGAAATCTCAGGTCCATGAGCATTTACTCCTTCCTCATCGCCGTTCGATCCGATGGCCAACAGCTCATGAACGAGAGCGGAGAGACAACATCACATCTCATGGGTCTTTTCTACCGTACACTCCGAATGGTCGACAACGGAATCAAGCCCCTATATGTCTTCGATGGTGCCCCGCCTAAGCTCAAGTCTGGCGAGCTCGCCAAGCGATTCCAGAGAAAGCAGGAGGCTACCGAGGGCCTTGAGGAGGCCAAGGAGACTGGTACCGCTGAGGAGGTTGAGAAGTTCTCCCGGAGAACAGTGCGGGTGACTCGCGAGCACAATGAGGACTGCCGGAAGCTTCTGAAGCTCATGGGCATCCCCTTCATCATTGCGCCCACTGAGGCTGAGGCTCAGTGTGCTGTCCTTGCTCGTGCAGGCAAGGTATACGCCGCCGCCAGTGAGGATATGGACACTCTCACTTTTGATACCCCGATCCTACTCCGTCACTTGACGTTCAGCGAGCAGCGCAAGGAGCCCATTCAGGAGGTTCACATTGAGAAGGTGCTGGAAGGTCTTGGCATGGAGCGGAAGCAGGTATGTCTCTCCCGAATAATGATTGACAAGGGTGAGCGCGTCGTAACTTATTATACGAACAGTTTGTCGACTTGTGTATCCTCCTCGGCTGCGATTACCTTGACCCCATCCCGAAGGTCGGTCCTTCGACAGCTCTCAAGTTGATCCGCGAGCACGGTGACCTGGAGACACTAGTCGAGGCTTTCAAGAATGACCCGAAGCAAAAATACGTCATTCCGGACGACTGGCCGTACCAAGATGCCCGAGAGCTGTTCCTCAACCCCGATGTCCGAAAGGCGGACGACCCGCTTTGCGACTTCAAGTGGGAGAAGCCCGATATGGAGGGACTGGTGCAGTACCTTGTCACGGAGAAGGGCTTCTCTGAGGACCGTGTGCGCTCAGCAGGCGCCCGCTTGGAGAAGAACTTGAAGAGCAACCAGCAAGTCCGCCTCGATGGTTTCTTCAAGGTGATTCCCAAGACAGAGGAGGAGAAGGCTGCGCACAAGCGGAAGCTGGATGCCAAGAACGATGAAAAGAAGAAGAAGCAGAAGTTGGAGAAGAAGGAGAAGGCTGCTGCCAAGTCTAAGCCTCGTGGGGCCTAGATGGACGTAGTGGTCGCTGGTTGGATAAGGTTGGCTAGGTTGCTGCGTGTGGTCTTCCCTTTGAGGATGATTGTCTATCAAAGAAAGGGCGGGACGGAACGGTGCCTTTTGCGGATTGATTTAGTGTGGGATTCGGCGTTTGGGGGTCAAAAAGGAGACCCGTTGCTCTTGGGAGGCAATGGGGATTTAATGTCTTGGTAGGGATTGCCCCAAAATGAGGATCAATCTCCATAGCTTGACACCTTTCAAATATAGATTATCTGACAATAACCTGGAAACTCGTCTACAGGCAGAAAGGCATCCGTACAGACAGCCAGCCTCCCCTATGACAATGGTGGGACTGCGCAGACTAACCCACGTGCTAATGAGGTAGAAGACTACTTCGTAGCATGCCGAAGACTAGCCATGGGTCGGTAATTTTGTCCCACGGGGTAATCTACTAATCTAGTAATTACCAACACCGTCCAGGTTCTCCGCGTTCTGCTCGTCGGTGTAGGACGTGGGTTGTCGGGAGATCATGTGCCTGACTCGAAGCGCATTGGATGCAAAGTGAATGCGTATCTTGGATGCTCACCTCTCCGTCTCTATGTACATGCAAAGTCTGGACCACGGGCAGCAAAGCGGCAGCAGAGAGGACCCACCTCACATGACCATCGACGGAATTCCCATTGGCCAGTCACCTTTGCAAAAGATGCCGAGGTTGATCCACACCTCGCGAACCGGAAACGGGCCACCCCTCGATGACATCAGCCAAAGAAGAAGGAGGTGCGACGCCCGAAACAGAAATCGGGAATCACATGTTGCGCAAAGGGAGAGTCGCACCAAGACACACGGCTGCAGTTGAGCACCAGTCGCATTCTTGTAAACTTTTTGATCCAGGCCAGAGGGGTCTTTCACACGCCAGGCGACCAAAAACCAAAGACAATGGACGGCGCGCAAACTTGGGACTGGGGAGAGGCTGCACGAGACCACATGACACGGATTAGCGCACCTAAATGTCGCCAATGGGGACTAGTGCGACGGCTCCCCAAGCTCACTCTGGAGTCTGTTTCCCGTTCGCCATCCTGCGAACCAATCCAATGGCACTTGATTGTGGTTGATTTCGGCCATGGCCAGTCGTGTCCGCCGCAATTTCAGTGACTGATGCTACCCGCGGCCTTAGTATCCTTACTTACTCCGTACTGCAGATTTCCCCACACAAAGGGCCCGTCCCCGAATTTCCGCATGTTTTTGTTTCTGGCTTGATGTGTAGTGTACCAGTATCTCTGCCTGCGACCTCGAGAGGTGTGGGGGAACTTGGAGAATCTTCAGGCCAACAAACACAGATGGATGATGGCATTGAATGGCCTCGCGAGCCTGGAAGCTGCACACAAAACACAATGTGCCGGTAATCGATTGCATTGCTATCCAGGTAGACTCGTTGCAATGCCTCGGCGCAAAGGTACTTACTTGCATGTCCCGTCGTGCTGCACTGAGGCTGCGGCTGTGTCCGCACACGCATCCCCTGGGTCAAACGTGCAAGGTGACGAGAGCCCGTCGAAAGAGGTAGGTACCTTTGCTGGCCATCTGCACCCCAGCTTCACCCCGAGGCGGGAAGGGGTACTTTCCCCAGCCAACCTGGATGTACTCCGTACCTAAACCCTCCTGGGTAAGCAGGTCCAATGGAAGGTAACCCTCTCCCAGAAACCAAAGGGCAGGTGCCTCTCCCATTTTACCTTGGGCTTACCTTCCCGCGTCCGCAAGCATGTGATTGTCTGGCCTGCGCTTGAGCTGCTGGCCAATTTGCCGACCTTGGCCGTCGCGACTCGTTTCTTTGACACCATTTCCCCAGACACACCCTCTTCCGGCAAGACCTCTTTAAACATTGTTGTCCCCCTCGTCCTTCTTCGTCTTTCTCTCCCCTGGTTCATCTCTCCTGTCATCCCACAGTCCATAGTCAAACAGCGAATACCCATCCGACGAGAGTCTGCCGTAGATAGCACCCACATACTCCACAGCATCGTACGACAGAGTAATCACCGGTCACAATGTCCAAGACCTTCACCACTGGCGACGTTGCGTCGCACAACAAGCCTGACGACTTGTTCATTATCGTCGACGGCGATGTCTACGACCTCACAAAGTTCCAGGATGACCACCCAGGTATGTTCAGTTCTGCCATTCTCTCTGCCTCTGCTCCAGCCTCTGCTTTCCAAAATGACCCCACGTATGCCTCTTTGACTGACCTCCTCAGGTGGTAAGAAGATCCTCCAGCGCGTTGCCGGAAAGGACGCCTCCAAGCAGTTCTGGAAGTACCACAATGAAGGCATCCTGAAGAAGTACAAGGCCAAGTTGCACGTCGGCTCCCTCGACTCCAAGCCTAAGCCCGTCGAAGCGGCACCTGCTGCCGCCGCTCCCGTGCCCAAGAAGGCCGCCCCCAAGAAGGTCGTTGCCAGCAGCGCCGAAGAGTCCGAGCCAATGGATCCCTTTGGCGACTTGGTTCCCTACGCCGACCCCAACTGGTACCAGGCTGTAAGTTCAATTGCCAAGTATCCTCTGGTGCTTAGCATCCACTGACATGTTGCCTACAGTACCACACTCCCTACTACAACGAGACACACGCTGCCCTCCGCACCGAGATCCGCGAATGGGTCGAGACAAATGTCGAGCCCTTCGTTGGTGAGTGGGATGAGAAGAAGGAGGTCGATCCCGCCATCTACAAGCAGATGGGTGAGCGCGGTTACCTTGCTGGTCTGCTCGGTGTCCACTACCCTACGCAGTACACCAACAACACCGTTGCGTCGGTGGCTCCTGAGGACTGGGATCTCTTCCATGAGATGCTTTTGACCGACGAGCTGTCTCGTGCAGCATCAGGTGGCTTTGTCTGGAACGTCATTGGTGGTTTCGGCATCGGCTGCCCGCCCCTGGTCAAGTTTGGCCAGAAGGCTCTCGTTGATCGTATCCTGCCCGGTATCCTCAACGGTGACAAGCGCATCTGCTTGGCCATTACCGAGCCCGATGCCGGCTCTGACGTTGCCAACTTGACTTGCGAGGCTAAGCTTAGCGAGGATGGAAAGCATTTCATCGTCAACGGCGAGAAGAAGTGGATTACTAACGGTATCTGGTGCGACTACTTCACTACCGCCGTCCGCACGGGTGGCGAAGGCATGAACGGTGTCAGCTTGCTGCTTATCGAGAGAGGACCAGGTGTCACGACAAGACGGATGGACTGCCAGGGTGTCTGGTCCAGTGGTACCACCTACATCACCTTTGAGGATGTCAAGGTACCTGTTGAGAACTTGCTTGGCAAGAAGAACCAGGGCTTCAGAGGCATGTAATCGTTCCCCCAAATTTGCCCCGTATCCCTTACTAACATACTCCAGTCATCATGACCAACTTCAACCACGAGCGTATCGGTATCATCATCCAGTGCCTGCGCTTCTCTCGTGTGTGCTACGAGGAGTCCGTCAAGTACGCCAACAAGCGTCGTACGTTTGGCAAGAAGCTCTACGAGCATCCCGTCATTCGTCTCAAGCTTGCGCATATGGCCCGCCAGATTGAGGCCTCGTACGCATGGCTCGAGAACCTCATCTTCCAGTGCCAAAAGATGGGTGAGACCGAGGCCATGCTCAAGCTTGGTGGTGCCATCGCCGGCCTCAAGGCCCAGAGCACCGTCACTTTTGAGTTCTGTGCTCGTGAGGCGTCGCAGATCTTTGGTGGTCTGTCGTACTCTCGCGGTGGCCAGGGCGGCAAGGTTGAGAGACTGTACCGCGACGTCCGCGCATACGCCATTCCCGGTGGTAGTGAGGAGATTATGCTCGACCTGAGCATCCGGCAGAGCATGCGTGTGCACAAGGCACTTGGCATGAAGTTGTGAGCGGCAACGCCGGTGAGAGCAGCGGATGATTAAGAAAGACTATTACGTCATGTATGAATAGATTAGGTTGGATATCTTTTTATTTGTCGGGGCGTTTTGCATGGAGGCAGAGCTCAGTCCAGGAATCTAGATGAATACATGGCTCACATTTACTACTTCATATTTTTTATGCTTTTCGCCTTGGCAGTTTCCCCGCTGACCCAAAGATCAGTCTGCTACGCTTATTCGCTAACTATGGGATACGACGCAGGACAGCGTTCAAGCCAGACGTAGCTTCACATTTCGGTCAGTTCTCAGATCTACGCCTCGGCAGTTGCCAGGGGTTGGAACCCATCGTACCACACTCTCCATGACATTTCAGCCGGCAGCACACAAACTCACAATCCGAGATCTTCATCCTCGATCGGCCACATTCCAGCAACACGAGCTGATGTCTCAGGAACTTCGTTTACGGTTTACCAGTCGACACGACCGATCACGGCGCAAGCCACTACCCTCCCAGCCGGGTCCAACTGGCTTTCCCCCTTGACTCCGGCGCTCCGCCACAAGACTCAATGACACGCTCTGTGGCTTCTCTCAACATCGCGCAACCAACTCATATCCCGTTCCCACCCACCCACACGTGGGGAGATGGGGGGTGCCGTAGATCATGAGAGTGGATGCGGCGTCAAAGGACCGAAAGCGCGTTTATCTCAGTACGGCCAAGCTCCGGAAGAACTTTTACGATTTTCATCGACAATCTGCCGTTTGCGGCCATGAGGCAGATATTTCCTCCTCGTATTCACTCAACAGACGAAAGATTTTCCATCGTTTGAGTTCGGGGCCAATTAGGTATTGAGGGCAATAAGTCTGATTAATGTGAATTTTCTAACTAGATTTTCTTACTAGGTCTTTAAGCTTGTAGTTTATGATGGACACGAAGGAATCCACCAGAATTTCCTCCGGGATACCATGAGCGGCAGTTGATGACTGAACAATACATCTCCTTCCCCATGGACAATCGTCCCGGGACCAGGCTGGAATGCTGAGTCCACCGGACTTCGGGAACCGGCTGTCTCACGGCGAGACAGTGGCGATGACGTTCTCATAGGGCTTGGACGTGAGCAAGGCTGTCTTCGGCGCCGAAGAGACATGATCCGGGCCGTACGGATACGCTGGCTTGTCCCTCTCGTTGCCCTGGATTGCAGTCGCCTTCCGTTTCCCCTCGCCAGTCTTGTCTCACTCTGAATCGCCTCGCGCAGAGTCGCAGCGATCACCAACATTCCTCACGCCTGAAGATATCCACCAGATCCATCGCGCAATGTCTCACTCTGAACAACTACCTCACCAAACCCACCGCACTTGCCTCTGATCTATCCGGATCCGACGAAATGCTCTTCTCCCCTGGTTCCGTACCTCGCCCGGCGCAACTATCTTCCCTGGACCACTCGCGTGTAAGCCATGCTCGCTTACAGGTTCATCCCAAAAATACCTCTTCTTCTTACCACATCCGTCCAACTGCCAGTCCCAACTGCCCACTATGGCGTACGCCAAAACGGTCCGAACTGGCAGAGTGCACGAGGAGCTCGCAACATCTTTTGCCGCATGCAGCCATATTCGAGATCTCTGAATTTTCACGATGCTCTTGGCCAAAGATTATCCACTTTGTATGGAGCTCACGAACTGTTCCTGCATGGTCCCACCTACGTTCTCGGTAATGTTCTCAGGAGGATGGGCAGACTTGCACCACACGGTCAACGGCTATATCAAGTCTCCTTGAACCCAGCCGATATCAGTCCTTTCTTCTTATCCTCATCACAGCAAACACATCTTCAACGCCCCCCTCTTCTCTCTGAGCTTCTGCTTCAACATTCGCTTTCGTCTTTCGTTTTCTCTAGCTCAAGATCAAGAGTCTAGTCAAACAGAACCAACCACCACTCTCGCTTACATCTACAAACCATCAAGATGGTTTCTCCCGCCATTATCCGCCTCGCCGCGGGTGCCGCCCTCTTGGCCGGTGTCAACGGCCAGTCGACCACCTCGACCACCGTCGTCGCTCCGACTACGACCGTGACGCCCAGCACCACCGTCACCGTGGCTAACCCCACGACCACGGTCACCGGCGGCGGCACCACCACCACTCTGACCTCCTCCGCTAGCTCTAGCAGCACGGCTTCCACCGGCACCTCCATCGCGACCAGCGTCGGCAGCTCTACCGTCACGGTTATTGCTCCCACGAGCACCTCGGTCACCACGGATTCTACTCTCAGCAGCGGCGCCAGCACCGTCCCGAGCACCACCGAGACCTCGACTTCTACCGACTCGACGTCCTCGGACCCCGGCGTCCCCACCACGTCGACCACCACCACCGACGTGGTGACCTCTACCATCCTCACGACCTCGGCCCTCAACACCACCGACCCCGGCGTTCTTCCTACCCTTACCAGTTCTACCGTGACCCTTCCCAATAATAGCACCACCGTCATCCCCGTCCCGGTTGATCCCACCGTCACTGCTCCTCCCGTGTTCCCCAACGGGACCGCCCCTATCACCATCCCTCCCCCGGTGACAACCACCACCTGCAACTTCAACGGCACTTGCAATGTCATCACCCTGCCCCCTTGCGTGACGATCACCTCCTGCTACAACGGCTACTGCAAGCCCGTCACCACAATCACCTACCCCCTTCCCCCTGTCGTCACTCCCCCGACAGTGACGACCATCACTCGCTGCAACTTCAACGGCACCTGCTCGACCTACACGCGCCCAGTCTACGTTCCCGCCACGAGCACCCAGGCACCCTTCTACACTGATTGCTCGACCCTTACAAAGACGTACACTACCTGCAACAACGCCGTCTGCAGCACCGTCACCACGACTACTACTTCGTCCTTCACCCGCCAGGGAACTCCTACCCCTACTGGCCCTGGTGGCTCGACTTTGGTCACGAAGCCCTCGAACCCGGCCTCGCCTCCTGTCAACCCGCCTACGAACCCCAGCAACCCTCCTACCAACCCGTCGAACCCTCCCAGCAACCCGTCAAACCCTCCCGCCAACCCTTCCAGCCCGCCTAGCAACCCTCCTAGCAACCCTCCTAGCAACCCTCCTTCCAACCCGCCCAGCAACCCTCCTTCCAACCCTCCTAGCAACCCTCCTAGCAACCCTCCTAGCAACCCTCCTAGCAACCCTCCTTCAAACCCTCCTTCCAACCCTCCTTCGAACCCCCCTGCCAGCCCTCCTTCCAACCCCCCTGCCAGCCCTCCCGCGCAGCCTCCCGCGAACCCCCCTGCCTCCAACCCTCCCTCCAACCCCACCAACCCTCCCGCCGGCAGCTCTCCCGCGACCACTCCAGCCGTCCCCACCACCGTCAGCGGCACCCGCCCCGGCACCACGTCTCCCACCGCCGTGGTGACGGCCGGCGAGCCCGCTCTGATGGCTGTCAGTGTGATGCCGCTTATGAGCGTTCTTGGTGCGGTTGCTATTGGTATGCTTGTGTTCTTGTAATCTGGACCCTGCAGTGGTTTAGGGATACCATGATCGAGCATAAGTTTGGTGGCACAGGCTTAACAGCAAAAGCTTGATGTGAGAAGGATTTTTCCTTTGTATTGAATGCTCTCGTATGATGAGCTGGAATAGATTTGGTGATAAAATTGGCGAGGAAGACCATGGATGATGGTTCTGTAATGAGGAAGAGAGGGGAGGAGATGGGGAAGAGATAGAATAATGAAAATTATTACTTCAAAATGTTTTTGATCAAGGGTCCCGATAGCTCGAGCCATTTCTTCGTATAACAGTTAACTTAAGTTCCTCTCGTATACGTGAACTATTGTACGCATCTCAACGTTTAATATCCATTAAAGGCACAGCATTGTCACTGATTTGAAAGACCGCGAACGATAGTCGATACTCTGTTCGGGGTCGTATTCATTGATTCTTTCAAGACTGGCCTGGTCGAATCTTTAGTCCCTCTCGATGGTTTCTAGTTTTTATGAATGAACATCGATGAGAAAGAAGTGTTGGTGGTCACCGCATTGCACGTGTCCGGTCGTATTCAGCGATGAATCGATTGATACTTGGAACACATGGGTATCGAAAACGATGTGATAATATCAAAAGCACCGATCCACAACAGTTGTCCACAAGATACATATATCATTGGTGGCAGCCCGTGTCAGGCACTCAATCGAAGGATGACTGTAGAGACTGAAACAAGATCAAAGAGTCATTTGAGAAACGCTTCCAAGAGGCTGACGGCACCGATGACAAAACCAAGGCCATGCGAGAGACAATGCTTTTCTCATGAGCAAATGGTGAAACCCATCTTCCTAAGGCCCGGCTGGAGATTAGCGCAGCCACACGTGACTCTGCATCCACACGATATACTAGGCATCTTGGAGCGTGAACCCGGAGACAAGATAGACTTGGGAGAGTACATCGCCAGTACACAGCACCTTAATACCCCTTACACGGTGCATTTATGCATGCCTCTCAATTAGGCGTGGATGTTGGTCAATTGAGGACCAGCCGGGTGGTTGTGGTTCGCATGTATGATTGGCCGAAGGTCACCCCGCATCAAGACGGGACGATGACGGATGAGATGGCGATGCCCCGCCGTTCCGCACTCCACCCGCGTTGAACAAGAGGCGGGGTGAGGACGGGAAGCCAAAACGACTGATCAACAACCCAAGGTCCGCTCGAATCTACTTTATCTAAACTTCATCCTTTATGCCCCCGCTTGCATAACCCACTCTTGATATTCAGAATGACCGTCATCCACGTTGTCCAGTTCCAGTTCAAGGAGCTCATTCCAGCAGAGGAGGTCAAGACGGTATGTTTGGCCACAACCCTGCGGAACTGGTGTCAGGGAGCTTAATAGCTTGACTGCAGAAGCACAGGCTGACGCTAAACACAGATGTGCGATTCCATGTTGGCGCTCAAGGAGAATTGTATCCACCCGACGTCTAGCAAGTCGTACATCAAGTCTCTGGTCGGCGGCCTCGATTGTAGCCCCGAGGGTCTGC